GCCTATGCTCCCAAACTATGTCCCGATCTCGAAGAATGAATCCCCAAAAAAATCACCCTAATTGCCGAGCCTCTAGCCCAATTATTTAAGATATTGAGAAGAGCCGGCTATTCCTGGTTGAAGGAAGAATCCTGGACCAACTCACTAAGTATTTTGATGCAAGCAATCACTGTGCCTATCATTTAGATGTCCCAGTACATGACACTGAAGACTGCTATGGTCTGAGGTACGAGATTGAAATGCTGATTACGAGTGGAGCCATCCAATGTACCCCAGCCCACCAAAAATAAACTATAACACACTACCAAACCATAGAAATCATGGGTCGAACATGATCATCTAGGAGGAGGAATATGATTTGAAAGAGACCATTATTACCAGTGGGAATACTGAGCAACAAGAACAACTCCTTGGGCAGCCCCGTTAATCACCTTGCAATTGAAGCCGCCCTTGATGGTTCAGACATATCAGCCACGGCCGGTCACAGCCGTCAAAGGGGATTGGAATCATGAGTACAAGGCAATTCCATGGGCCTATCAGTCAAAGGGAAATGGAAAATGATAGAAATTTTGGCTAATCATGGGATGACGAGATCCGGAAGATGTTACGCTCCTGATGAACTGAATCAGGGAAATCAAACAGAGAGCATAATCAAAGAAGGAATATAGCTGATGTAGACGCGGTATAGTTCTGGAGGAAGATGCCCGTTAAGGAGTACTCTATCAAAGAACAATTGGGAAAGTCCCCTGCCTACATATAAATCATAGATCTGTTGGTGAGTTCTGACAGTTATAGGGACGCTTTGTTAAAAGTATTGAATGGAGTAAGTGTGTCGAGAAACACCACTAGCGAGGCACTGGCAGCAGATATCGTGAAAATGATGGAGGCAAATAAGATCTCTTTTCGGAAGGATGACCTTCCAGAGGAGGGAGTGGATCACAATAGAGCTCTACATATCACTGTCAAGTGTGGAGACAAGGTCATATCTCAGGTACTGATCGACGAGGGATCTGGAGTGAATATTTATCTATTCTTCACTCTACTAGAACTAGGTATTCATATAAGGAAGGTGAAAGAAATCCATGTGAAGGTAAGGGTTTTTGACGAATCACAGAAAGACGTCATTGGGAAAATTTATCTATCTTTGCAAGTGGGACCCATTGAGTTCCCGGTATTATTTCAAGTGATGGGTAACTCGTCTTTTTACAACTTGTTACTTGGGAGGCCATGGATACACATGGAAGGGGCATTTCCTTCTACTCTCCATCAATGTATGAAGTTCGAACGGGATTGTCAAAAAATAGAGATATATGGGGAACGGAGTCATACAACGTATTTAGAGCGCGCGGTTCCTTTTATAGAAGGGCTGGATGGGGTCGCCTTTTATGCATTGAGATCATGCAAGCAATAGAAATGGAGAAAGATGAATGGAACCACAACACGATGTTGCCATATAGTTTAGGGTTGGTGATCTGAAAAATGATAAAATACGGGTACAAAACAGGATCCGGGTTGGGGGCCAGATCAGATAGGATAACCGAGCCAATCCAACTAAAGTAGCAAAAGGGTACTACTGGCTTAGGATACCAGTCTGCAATTGGAGGAGGCCATAACAGTGACCCCGTGAAGTATTATTTTGTGCCATAGCATGTTCCGAGTCTGAGTCCGAGCTCAATGCAAGAGGAAGAAATCATCGACGGGATCAGAAGGTTGTTCATGAAAATAATATAAGGGTGCTGCAGCGAAGCTGACATCAAGACACCGACCATAAGTGATGCCAAACCAGGAGAGACTTTACGAAACTGGACTGCCAACCTATTTCTAGTTCGCCGGGAGTCGTGGTAGTGTAGAATTGTAGTAATTTTTTAAATTGCATGATTAATTGACGATTGAATCATGCCGATGCATTTTTGATAAACCGCCTCTTTGAACGCTAAGACGTTCCTTTCAATGAAATTCTTTTTTATTCTTCCTAAAGTATTACACAAACTTGTCTTTTTCATTTATTCTCGCCTTTTCTTTTTAGTGATCAAACTAATAAAAATAGCATTCTACGATTGTGATATGCAACTAAACCCTTGAAAAAAACGAGCCGGATTACGAGGAATATGATAAAAGTATGATGCTCGAGAATGTACCGCAGGAGATTGAAAAGTTAGAAAGCTAGAAGAAGACCAACCTGGAGGAGACAGAAGTGATCAACCTGGGAAATAAAGAAGATGTAAAAGAGACCCGAATCAGCATCCACTTGGATGTAGAATAGAAGAAAGAATTGATAATGCAACTCCAACAATACATTGACATATTCGCTTGGTCATATGATGACATGCTTGGGTTGAGTGTGTACATTGTTTCACATCGACCGCCTACTGATCCTGCCAAACCACCAGTCAAGCAGAAACTCAGAAAATTCAAGCCTGATTTGAGTATGAGAATAAAAGAAAAAGTCACCAAGCAAATAAAGGCGAATATGGTAAGGGTCACGAACTACCCCACTTGGTTGGCCAACATAGTACGGGTTCCTAAGAAGTCCAGGAAGATTAGGATATATGTGGATTATTTAGATCTCAACAAAGCAAGTCCCAAGGATGACTTTCCTCTGACCAATATCCACATCCTCATTGACAATTATGCGAAGTACGATCTACAATCATTCATGGATTGTTTTGCCGGTTATCATCAGATCTTGATGCAAGAAGAAGATGCAGAAAAGACAACATTCACCACACCATGGGGAATTTACTATTATAGGGTCATGTCATTAGGCCTCATGAATGCCGGTGCCACTTATATGAGGGCAATGACGACTATTTTCTATGACATAATCCACAAGGAGATTGAAGTTTACATGGATAACATCAACATCAAGTCACGAAAGAGTGGAATCATTTAAGTGACCTGAGGAAATTCTTCGAACGATTGCGAAGGTACAATTTGAAGCTGAACCCTGCAAAATGTGCATTCGGAGTTCGCACAGAAAAATTTTTGGGTTTCATCGTTGGCACGAAAGGGATAGAGTTAGATCTCTCGAAGATCAAGGCTATTACCATGTGAGTTGTATATATTAGTAGTAATTTGTGCTCTTATGTAGCTTCTAGCATAATAGAATGGATTTGAAGCCATGTGTAGATATATAAAAAAAGTAGGGGTTATATTAAACAACGTGTGAATTATTTGCAAACCCAAAGCTATGTTGAAACTAGAAAATAATTCAGTTTATAAAGTTATGTGTGTCATGTTATAATGAAGTTGAGACTAATGTTTGTATTCAAATAGTTTGAACATGAGAAATTAAGTTTTGATATGTTGGGGCATATTGCTTTTGCTTCCAATTATATTGGGATAATTATTTAATGGAAAGCATCTTCTCTTGCAGAGTCGTACATGCTGCATAATAGAAGGTAGCAACAGTCACGAGATTGGAAGGATTTCGACCACAAGTCGTGGTGTAAGAAAGAGTTCTAAAGGGGGATGCCCTGGCCTTTGGAATTATTCACAGAACAACTGATACATATTATGTGAACTAATTATAAATTGATGATGAGTAGACTTTAATTTCATACTCACCTTTTCGTGTTTTTTTTTTTTGTAAATCCATTAGGCAGTGTGCCTAGGGCTAGTTTTTATATTTATAACTAAAAATAAAGACAAATGTCAGGAGATCTTACAAGATGAAAGCAATAGAATTTGTCAAGAACATAGCTCCTATTATCAAAGTTGAGCAATGTGCTCAACAATGATAGTACATAATGTCTTATAAAAAAAGAAACTAAGCCATGATGTATTAACTAGCCATGATATAATACCACCCTTGCTGCCCAGATTTAAGGATGTCTCGTTGCCTTTTTCTCCAGCTTCTTGTTGTATAGCTGAAATTGAATGCAAATATGAGACCATTCTTTTCATATTTAAAACATCAGTTGCAATTATGAGTCTCATATGATCATCACCAATGTGTGTGGTATCCACAAAAATCCTCACCCTTGCCTTATCGTATCCTTGGAGTGCCACTGCTCGTCCTTGCATAATGTTACATTTTATCGACCAAACACACCCATCTACTTCTACTTCTTGATGTCTAGAATCCAGAAAAGTAATTGCATTGTAAAAAAATATGATATAGCTACACGCAGTCCTTCCTGTTTCTACTTTCTAGCACTTGTGTATATAGGTGATCATGCACTGTTTGTAGAGGTAATAATGTGATTTCCATCAGTAATCAGTTGTAACCATTGGTTGGCACCATTTCTGGGATGTAGAACTAATAAAATGCATTGGTGTTTTACTACACAATGCATCCATTATTCCCATAGTTTAATGCCAAAGGCCCAGGTCATACATGACTATCTCGACCAACAATCTGGGCAGTATTCTCGTGCATTTCCAGTATTTGCTGTCCCTTCTTAGTAACTAAGTTTAAAGGGTTATAATACTAGGGTGTGTGATGTTAATACCCAACCTTGGATGACTGAAGGTCCATAAATCTATTTCACACCCCAGTATTCTGAGAATCTTCCATGCTTCCATGCTTGTGCCTACTGTTAGTACTCCTGCAAGGGACCGAGCATCAAATGCTAATACTACCCTTTGAATTTGTAGCACATAGTAAGACATGGATACAGTAACATTTCTTGCAAAAAAGAACCCAAGGTTAGTAGTATAAAAGATCACAAAATTCTACTCCTCAAAATGGATTTGAATATGATGATCTGATGAATTCACCAGCGCTCTAATACACCTTTCCTCCTTACTCCTTGTTATTTGGCAACTTTTACCCTTAGATAAGGATATTGCAATTTTTCTTCATTCACTATTCTTCTGCCTTGGGGATCTAGATGCCAAAATTCATGACACTCAATCGTACCAACATCAAGAGCGTAGTTTGCAAGGTGGTTAGCCAGTTTGTTTCCCTCTATGTAAATGTGTGACACCTTGATATTGCACCCTTCCATCAGTTTCATAACCTCCTCAACATACTCTACAATACACTAAGGTGGCTTTCAAGATCCCTCAATTATATTCTTCAGTAACATCGAATCAGTTTGGAGCCATATATGTGTATAATTGTGTGCTCTACATAGCCTTAAAGCCTCAACAATTTCTACTACCTCTGCTTCTGTATTTGAACCCTCAGTTATCTCCCTTCCAATTGCATATTTCACCTCTTCAGCTTCATCCCTGACACAAAATTCAATTGCCCTTTTTCCAGGATTCCCTCTAGATTCTCCATCAGTATTGATTTTAATCCACCCCTCCATTGGCAATTCCCAGATAACTTTCTCAACCTTTAGTCTTGTAGTGTAATTCTCCAACATGGCTAACAGATCATGCCATTTGTGAGGCACTTGTATGCCTGGCTTTCTAACTTGAACTAGAGCTTGTAGTGTTATAGACACCTGATAGATCACTCTACTAATAGACACTGCCTCACCATACTTGAAGTTGTTCCTTCTTTTCCACAGTTCCCACACAATACAAGAAGGTAAAGCTTGTATAACTGGTTTAATTCTAGGAAGTACCTGGGCAGTCCAACATTTGGTAATTGCCTGATGCATTGACAGCCCCTCCATTGATATTCCTACCCTCGGTAGGAAATATTTCCAAACTCTGGTAGCAGCAGTTGATGAGAAGAACAAATGCACTAGTGTTTCCTCCTTAGGTTCAGAACAGCACCAGCACCTCGATGGCATGAAATATCCCAGCATTCGCATGAAATCATCCAAAGGCAGTTTAGCTTTCCATACCTTCCACATGAAGAATGATATTCTAAATGGTAACTCTTTCACCCATATCATCTTGTAAACTATCCTAGGATCATCTCTCCTTCGTAAGTATTCCCATGCAAATTTTACACTAAAATGGCCACGAGTTTCATGCATCCAGTAGAGAGTGTCAAGGACATTATCCATAACTGTAGGTCTTATTTTCTCCATAATATGCAGTGCAAATTCCTCAGGGAGAATATCCAATGATCTGTCAACATTCCAAGCACCATCGTCCACCACTTCATATACATTATGAGTGGATTCATCAACCCCAAATTCTGGAGAGACAAGGAAATACAAGGCTCCTAAACCCATCTAGTTGTCAAACCAAAAAAGTGAAGATCCCATTTTTCGATGCCAAGTAATTTGATGCTCAATTATGTCCCTACATTCGAATATTTTCTTCTACAAATTTGATCCTTTTCTCCATGGGACTATAACTGCATTGAGCTTTTTGCAGTACTTCTGACTCATAAATGAGCTCTAAAGGCTTGGCTTTGTTCGAAAATTCCACCACTATTTGCAGAATAGTGCTTTAGACACATCATGCAATGATCTAAAACCTATTCCACCTTCCTCACATGGCATACATAAGGTATTCCATGATGCCCAATGTCTACTGTTACCTCCCACAGAACTACTCCAAACGAATTGAGCAAATATCTTATGAAGCTTGTTAATAACATAAATAGGAGGATTCACAGCAGAAAGTAGATGAATTGGCATACTCTGAAGTGCATGAGATACCAAGACTGACCTACCTCCTATAGAGAGTAATTTACCTTTCCATGACTGCAACTTATCGAGCACCTTAGTGACGAGGCCTTGATAATAATCCATCGTTCTCCTTGAATAAAATATGGGACATCCAAGGTATATAAACGGGAAATCCTGCCTTCTAATACTAGTGATCCTCTCCACTTTTATAACCACATCCAAGCTAGTCAAATGGTGCATATAGATAGCAGATTTACCTTTGTTCATCAACTGTCACGATGCAGTCTCATATGCATATAAGACTTCTATCACCAACTGTAAAGATGTAGAATATGATAGTTTTGTATGCATAGGCTAAATCATTATTTTTTGGACACCATTTAGGCAAACCAAAGGCACAAAAATATGGGTTCAAGTGTAGAGCATTCAGACCTCTTGAGAGTGCCTCAACAGCTATGATAAACAGTGTGGGTGAGAGTGAATCTCCTTGCTTGACGCCCTTTGAAGATTTGAAAAATATATGTGATTGTCCATTAACGAGCACTGAATACCAATTGTTTCCTACAATATCAAAGACCAAACCAATGAATCTTTCACAAAATTCCATTTTCCTTAGCACCTTAGTCAGAAATAACCATGATAGCCTATCGTAAGCTTTTGTCATATCATGCTTAATCACCACATTAGGTCCAGCCCTTGTCCTTAATCTAATATCAGTGATGATTTCTTGAGTTAAGATTACATTTTCAACAATAATGCTCCCTTTCACAAAACCTGCTTGTTCTTCTAAAATTAGATTAGAAATCATCCCCCCAATCTCTCATGAATCACCCTAGAACAGATTTTGTTGATGAAGTTACTAAGGCTTCTAGGCCTCATATCCGAAAATGTAGTTACCTCCTTCTTTGGTAAGAGCACTAGATTTGTGTGTGTCACACATTTTAGTAGTTGTTTTCCACTGAAGAATGCCAAAACCATTGCATAATGTCCTCTCCAATGATATCCCAGCATGAATGATAAAAGGCACCTGTGAATCCATCTGGACCTCCTGCACTCTCCCCATTTAAGCCAAAAACTGCCTGTTTAACCTCTTCTCTTGTAGGTTGACTGATTAGTTTTGCATTCTGCTCCATGTCTACTAAAATAGGTATGTGATCAATGATGCCAAAAGTATTAGGAGCCACAGTGTCATATAATTGGTCCTTAATAAAATTGACAGCTTCTTCTGCAATTTGATCTTCCTCCACAATCCAGTTGCCAAGTCTGCTTTGTATCCTCTTGAGATGCAATCCTTTTCTTAGACCATTAACTTGAGCATGAAAGAACTTTATCTTCCTATCAGCATCCTTAAACCATGTCATACCTGACTTTTGTCTCCAGAATTCCTCTTCCAGTGCAAGGTATCTAATCAGTTCAGCTTGAACTTTTTGTAGCCTTTCCCTATTCAGCTGTGTAGGATTTGCTTCGAACTGCCTTTCATGCACCATAACAACTTCCTCCAAGCTCACAATCTTTTGAAATATATCTCCATAAGTTTCTTTACTCCATGTAGACAATGCCTTCTTCAACTTCTTTAATTTGAAATTTAAGAGTATAAAAGGATTAGCACTGAAATCAGCATGCCAATTCTCCCTAATGACATCCTTAAAAGTATCATGTTTCACCCAGAAATTAAGAAACCTAAAAGATTTCTTAACTGGAGGAGCTTCAAAATCACACTTCAATAGCATAGGACTATGATCAGATCCAATCTTGGATAGATGTGTGACTTCCAATATTGGGAAGGTTTGCTGGAATTCCATATTAGCTAAACAACGATCGAGCCTTTTGAAAATGAAGTCCTCATCTGCCCTTCCATTCCACCAAGTGAAAATACTCCCCTTGAAGCCAAGATCTGATAGGTTGCAAGTGTTGATGCAGTACCTAAAATCATCTACCTCGTTTAGAAAAATGAAAGTCCTCAAATATTTTCTTCCTCATCCCAAATTATATTAAAATCACCACCCACAAGCCATGGGACAGCCATATCTCTAGCCATTACATACAAGGAATCCCAGAGTTCTATCCTCTCAATAGCATCACATTTGGCATACACCAATGTGAGAATGAGTTCAACATGAGTTTCAATGTCAGTTGTTGCACCATATCATACAGAATAGTAACCTCATACATTTCATCGATGAAAGCCCAGATCTTATTTGAAAAATTTACCACAGCCTGCGCAAAATCAATCTTCCTTCTATATCTCTCCAATTTTCTTTTCCTGCTGCATTGGTTCCATTATTCCAATGAATTCAAAGTAGTGATGTTTATGCATTGTGATAAGCCTCTCAAAAGCTTTTTTAGTATTCACTGATCTTATATTCAAAATAATTACATCTATTACAAATTATTGGATTTAGTTAAAGTTCTTCTCATTTGTACTCCAAATGTTGGGGCAGTGAAGTTGTCTTTACCTTGCTTCTTTCTTCCTTTGACAACTGATTTGGCCTTTTCAATATGCCCTGTAGAAATATCACCATGCTTAACAATATTTAGAAAATTCTAGGCAGTCGACTCCTCATCAAGATCCCTAAATGCTTGTTCTGTGCGATATGCTACTTCTTTAGCTCCTAATGAAGTCACAATATTGGAATTCTTATGTTTAAAGATCACATCCTGCTCCACAGTAGTCTTCTTGTTCTGCAACTGTGTAAGTTCCAATGGAATAGTGATTCCAGTTTCAACCATCAATTGATTTTTGGACATCTGGTTGTTTCCAACCCCTGCACTTTTTTTTAGTTTGGTATTATCATCAACATCAGTTGCAGCATCCCTTTCATTTCCTCCTGGATCAATTAAATTTATATCAACACCTTTAGTAATCATTGTTTCTGCCTTAGATTTTTCTGTAGTAATCTGCTTCTCCTTGATAATTTTCTGCTCTTTGGGTTCAGCATCTTCATTGTTTACATTCTCATCTTCAGTGATCTTGGTAGAAATATCATCACCATTTACACTTTGTTCCTCCTCTTCTATTACCTCAGCACCTGCTTCCTCCTCACTTTGCATTTAAATCTTGTTTTTCACCTTCCTCGGTGTCCTCTTCTATTTGATTTGCCCATAGTCTTCCTCCACTCCATTGTACCCTATCATTGTCCTTAAACATCTCACTCCCTATATCAGAAGCTTGCACCTTTACTGATTTCTTAGCCAACTCCCCTTCCCTACGAGTATCTTGTGATGGAATTTCTTGGCAAGAGGTGTTAGTAGCAGCAGCATTGGCCGTAAATGTTCTTTGCACCCATTGAGCTGTGGATTCCTTATTTGTATGTTCTTCAGTTCTTCTCCCATTAGGCCTTGTATTTACCCTATCTTTCTCTGCATCTATCCCAGCTGGACTAAGACTAGTATTTAGGGCTACTTAAAATAGGCTTTTCCCACGTCCAGTTGGATTAGCATTGTTCACTTGCCTCTACTTTTCAATCCCAGGTGATTTAGTAGTAACACCAATTTTTTGAACAGACCTTTCCTCCACCATTACCAACTGATTGTTCTCATTAATATCACTTTGTTCCACATCTAGTACAACAAATTTATTCATTGTTTGAACCTGTTGAGCAACCTTATCAACTGGAACAATTTTCTTCCTAGTTTTAACATGTTCTTTTGTTTGTTTATCCTTACCTTGCACACGATTATCTCTTACTTCCTTCCATTGTGCACCTACATTTTCAACAACCTTTCCACTTATAAGAATCATCGACGGGACAGTTTCCTTACTTTTTTCCACTGCCTTATCATCAACAGACTATTTCTCAGCATCTCTATTCTCCTTCAACTTTAGATGCAGCCTCCAACACTTGATCATATCATGGCCTTGCAACTTGCACTGCTTGCAATACTTTGGAATGAAGTCATATTGAATTTTAACCCATTCAGTTCTTACCTATCCTATAGCCTCATTCTCTATATCCATGCGAACCTTCTTTGGCAATTCTGCTAATAGATTAACAAACACCTTAACTCGAGCACAACTATGCCTTATTTTATTTATAGTTGCCATGTCAAGATGCAGTGGTTTTCCAACAGCTGAGGCTAGAGAAAACAAGCCTCCTTAACAAAATATGTAGGCAGCAAGTGTGGGAATAAAATCCAAGCCATATCAATTGGTGTTTCTTCTCCGTCTTTGAATTTCGCATCATAAATAAGCTGCATCATCATATATTCGTACCCATACTTTCCCTTAATATAATAAGTGCTTTTGGACATAATCTTAATGAAATCCTCCTATAATGTTAATCTAATAAACGCATGCTTATCTCTTAGGAATCCAATGTTGCAATCTCCTTTAATACCACATTGTACTGGAATGATTCGACGTAACTCTTGGAGGTTTGGCTATCCATATGAGAACTTACCTAACACAACATATTGTAGACCTTCTATTATATTCATGCGATCGACTTCTGATTCTATAAACTTGACGAAGGGTTGTCCATGAAAGAAGGTTGCTCGTTTGAATGAGATTGGTTCAACAGTAGCCTTCGAAATAGAACTCGCGTGCATGGGATTATTCAATGCGACTGGTTTTAATATATGGCTATAATCTAAGGGCT